CGCAACACACCATCATCTTCGATAACCACTTCATAGGTACCACTTCGCAACACCATACCCCCAAAGGCAAACAAATGAAGACCATCCTACTGACGAGACGTAATGCGTTCCAACAAGATCAATGACACTACAACACAAACAAAAATTCCACCAAGTTTGGAGATATCAAATCTCGCTACTCCATCAACCAAAGCTTGAACATCCATAGCCTAGTTGCCTCTCCTGCGCTGGAATTAAATACCGGATCTTCCAATCACGAACCTAATAATCCTCTTCCTGAAGCATTCACTGCCGCAACACAAAAGTAAACACCCTCCGTTCACACCAACATTGTGTGATAACAACGCGATAAATATCACAATGTACCGTGTATAGAACCGAAACCATAGGCAACACCAACACTGGCTAAAATGATCGAACTCCCTTCCATGAGGCAATGATAGTATTATGCTCTCATAATGTAGGGAAAAATATCCTGCATCAGACCTGTATCACCACCACGACTCCTTGATTCCCAACTGATATCAAGTGCTCAACATAGTTCTCTAATGAGTAGGAAGGAACTGAAGACATAAGCTTCAAAAAAATCAAATCATAGGACAAGGAATCCAGAAAGGGAAGTTCTCCTACAGTCCTGTAGCCTCTCAAAGATAAGTATAGACGTCTCTGTACCGATCCGCAAGACTCTACTACACTTTCTCATGACTTGTGAGACATAAGTGAACCTAGTGCTCTGATACCAAGCTGTCATGACCCAATTCCCACTATAGATCATGATGGCGCCCAATATTGTTGTTAAGCAAGCCAACAATTTAATCAACATGATAATTAGCAGTTCTTAACACATATAAAATAATGATGAAATAATTAAGCAAAATTGCTCTATTTTTATTGAAAATACTAACATTTTAATGAAAATTAGAATATGATCAAAATGCAATGTTGAATGCCATAATAGAAATACATCCAAGATTAATGGTCTAAGTTCCTAAAACCGGGTGTGATAATCGAATGAGCATCTACTAGAACATATAATACTACTACAACAATTATCTAGAATAGAAATTAGACAGAATGCAATAATGAATAGGAAAGGGACTCCCGTGTGCTGCAGATAGTAACATGGAATGCATCTTACCACAAAGACTCCTCAGTAGCTGCGCTTACGTGCCAGTGTGACCACCAAATGTACCTATCTCATTACCTAAACAATTAGTGCAAAAGTGTTGTATGAGTATGTAAATCAACGCGTAGCTAGTAAGTATCTAGCCTAACATCGAAGAAGTAATAAGAGTGAGTCGACATCGACACACTTACGAGTGGTCCAATTATCAAGTACAGTGAAAGTAGACAGGTATGAAGCATAGCAAGTAAAAGCAACGAAGCAGGTGTATATGTATAACATGATCCTCAATAGAAGAGTAAATACAAAATCCTCAAATGCCGAATACTATCTCGCATGGAATATATAATGATCAATACCGAATAAAATTTCACATCCCAAGTTAGAAAGAGTCATAAGTACGCTGACTCCTTATCGAATAATGTGCACGATTCTACCAAGGTGAATGTCCCGATCACATAAGAGTGGTGGTACAATATCTTACCGTGGCATACAATCCAATCCCATAAGAATATATTACATGATACTGCCAAGGAGAATGCTTAATCCCATAAGAGTGTGTTACAAAATACTGTCGAGGCGAATGGCTTGACTGCATAAGAGTGTGTTACATAATATTGCAGAGGTGAACGACTCAATCCCATAAGAGTGTGCTACATAATACAGCCGAGGCGAATGGCTCGATCCAAAAAGAATACTGCTGAGGCGTTTAGGCCGATCCCATAAGAATATGAAACTTTGATGGGTCACTGACCCCACTCAAAAAAATACATGTGAGTTATGAAATTCAAGAAACTTTTGGATGAATACGCACGACACTGGATAAATATGTAAAAGGAAGTATACTTTTCGCGACAAATTTAGTAGCTCGTCAAGTATCTATAATAGCAAGGTTTGATACTCTAAACAAGTCCAGTCACAGACTAAAAATAATAATTAAGGCATGCAAACAAGAAACAATAACTCAATTAATACAATTAAAACATGGCGTGAGTCTAAGTCTACCCAGACATACTCAGGAATTCTAGCATACCATGGACACTCGTCACCTCATACGTGTGTAGCACCCATAATACGTAGTACATAACAAATATAGAACCTACTGGGTAAATTCTCCCTCACAAGGTTAGAAAGGAGACTTACCTCGCTCCAAAATCCGATAGTGCTCCAATGCCTCTCTATTACCTCAAACCAATGCCAAACGTTCCGAAACTAGTCAAAAGAACGTGCAAACGAATCAAAATATACTCAAGGACTTGTAATTTAACAATTAGAAACAATTCCCAACTCTACACGAAAAGTCAAAGAAGTCAATCCCCAGGCTCACACACCCGGATTCTGTAACTTTTCGAAGATAAATACCACCCATAACACCACGAACTCAATTATATAATTTATTTTCAATTCCATGTCTAATTTCGTGGTCAAAACTCAAAAAAATCATTTATAGGTTTACTTTCAAAATCCCACAATTTTATAATTTTTCATGTTTAAATCCATATATAATCCATGTATTTAGCTCATAATGAGTAGGAATCACTTACCTTGTGATAGATGAAAATTCCCCTTCAAATTCGGCTCTAATGGAAGGACTAAGATAAAAATGAGCCAAGTCCTGATTTGCATTGTTATACACTGCCCAATAGTTCCTCTTTGCGATCGCGGAAGACGACTTGCGATAGCGAAGTTAAAATCTTCTGCTAAAATAAAATCCTCTCCGTGAACGCGATATAGGATCCGCAAACGCTATGCCTTACCTGTCCTGCTCAATGCGAACATGACCGGTCTTTCGCAAACACGAAGGCCAACATCCAGTCCAAACTTCTTCTTCTTCTTCGCGAACGCAACCTGACTATTGCGAACACGAAGTACCACTGCACCAGCCTCCGCGCACGCGGCTCGCCCAACGTGAAGGTGGACACATGGCCTCAAACCCAAATCCTTCATCATGAATGCGTGCTTCCCAAAGTGTTCGCGAAGAGTGACACCAGCACCAGCAACAACCATAGGCAAAACACACCGACATGGTCAGAAACTAACCCCGAAACACAACCGAGGCACTCGGAACCCCTCCAATCTTACAAACTAGTCCTAATGCCTTATCCAACCTTATCCAAAGGCTCAAAACTCCACAAATAACATCAAAACTAAGAATCGATGATCGAAATCCTTTTCTTAACTTCCAAAGCTTCAAACCTCGTCGAACGCGTCCAAATCACACTTAGAGATCCCGGATTACGACCAAACTTCACACACAAGTTCTAATCAACTAACTGAACCTTTCCAAGGTCTCTAAAAACCACTCAGAGTTCGATAACACCAAAGTCTACTCCAAGTTAATCTTAGCAAATTTCAAAACTTTCAAAATGCAAAGTTCCGATAATGAGCGCTGAAACACTCCCGGACAATCCGATACTCAATTCGAATATACTCCCAAGTATGAAATCACCATACGATCCTATAGGAACCTTTAAAATTCCGATTTGAAGTTTATTTCCTCAAAAGTCTAACCTTGGTCAACTATCCCAACTTAAAGCTTCCGAATTGAGATTATTCTTCCTAATCAACTTCGAACTTTTTAAAAATCAAAACCGACTACACGTACAAGTCATAATATATAATGTGAAGCTACTAAATGTCTCAAATCGCCAAATAACATGCTAGAGCCCAAAACGACAGGTCGGGTCATTATAGTATTTAATTATTTTTACTATTCATTTAGGTACACATAATTATTTAATTATTTTCAATCCCTCACTTAGTCAAATCAAGTCCAACCGGGAACCAATATTTATTAATTATTTTTTCAATCCCTCAATATGATTGTTGGCTTTAAAAATGACTTGAGTTGACCACGGTCAACATTTTTTATAACGACTTCAGATTGGTGTTTTGATAATTCCGATAGATTCGTATTCCATTTTGGACTTGTACGCGTGTTTGGTTGCGGTCCCGGGTGACCCTAGGTAGTTTCAGCGCAATATGTGAAAAATTAGGAAAATGTGTTTTAATTTGAAAATCTTGAGTTTTGATGATCGATTCTTGATGTTTGATGTTATTTTAATGATTTGAGATAGCGAGCGAGTTTGTATGATATTATTACACATGTGTTAGTATTCGTATTGTAGACCAAAGGGATCAGGTGAGTTTCAGATAGGTTGTGCAAGGTGTTGAATAGCTGATGCTTCAGCTAGTTTTTCTTGCTTGAAGATCTCGCAATTGCGAGGTACCAACTCGCATTTGGGAGGGGTCTGGACAAGGCACTTCGCATTTGCTAAGTTAGAGCCGGTTTTGTGATATAGGGGATCATTGAATTTGTGACTGTTGTGTCACCTTTGTGACACTGCACATCATATAGAAGCTTCGCATTTGCGATGGAGGAGACCTTCACAAATGCGAAGGAAATGTCACATTTGCAATAACTGCATGGATGCGGCACTTATTGCATTTGCGATAAGTAGTTCACTTTTGCGATTTACTTGTAACTACGAACAAGAGTTCACATTGAGACATCTGCAGCTGGATACAAATTGTGAAAATCAAGACTTAGCTGAATATACATTAATATTTAACCCTAGACTACAAAGAGGCAATTTTTAGAGAGCATTTTCTTTCCAATTTCATTGATTCGACTGGTTTGGAGGCTTGTTCTAAATGAAAAGTGTCATGCCCCGACCTTGGAGAGCTCGACCGATGCTCAACCAAGATATCCCAGTCAAGAAAGCCTACTTGATGCCTTCTACCCGACCTTACACATGTATAAAGTGAAGATGTATACCATTCATTACACAATGAGAGGATTTCATGAACAACACCAATTTCATTACCATTAGTTACTTCATTTTCAATTGCCAAAATACATTACACATTCTTAGTCTAGAAGTGGAAACATGTGATACATATACAACATTTCTAGTTTGACATTCCAAATCAAGGTACAACCCACACTATGTCTACAGATCCTCTAATTTATAGAAAAGACTAATATGATTGTTCTAGAAATAAGACACCGGCTTAAATCACAACACTATCCATAAGAAACAAAATATACAAGATCCCGATATGAAGTGGGGCTCACCAAGTCAGCTGAGAAGAGGGTGTACCGCTATCACTGATCGATGCCGCCTGCTGTGGAACCACATGCATCCATTAAAGATGCAGCGCCCCTGGCAAAAGGTGTGTTATTACATCTCGAATAGTACTAGTATATAAGACTAAACACCCTCTCAAATAATCGAGTAACAGTACAAGGAGAAAGAAACATGGAATCAATGAGAGCCTCAAAAAATATTAGAGCATCAAGTTAAGAGAAAGATAACTTTTCAAGAGAATATCAATATTTTAAAGTTGGGAGATCATTAGTACCGATACAACACCGTGCTTTTAGCATGGAGTCTGCTCTCGGTCCGATCGGCTAAGCCGTCTCACCCAAGAAATCCAATCATAACACTACCATGTGTACGACATGGCATCCGATATAGGCCCAATCGGCTAAGCCGTCTCACCACAATACCGTGTGGGTTGACATCACATTCCTCTAGCAATCATCTCATCCCAATTAAGGTGAATAATATCAACACATCAATCTTATCCTAATTAAGGGGAATAATCTCAACACATCGGTTCGGGGATTTACCTCAATCACTCCTACACCGACACATGTAGTTTTGGGGTTAGGTTGTTTCAACCTACCCTTCCTAGAAGACTAACGATACTCCCAAATATTTATTTATAAAGGAGTTGAAGCTTATTTCAAAATCTTTCACATAGACTTTTCATTTCATTGGCACTATCGGACACAAGTGTAATTTTGTTCTTGGCACGTCAGCCGTATTTTATATTTCATACTCACTCCTTTCATTTCAAGCATCATCATGGATTATCAACAATAAGATCATTCGTAATCAAGATTTTAAGTATGTATATGAGCAATAGAAGTTTTAAACACATTGAGTTTTCATTCAAAGAATAAGGAATTATAAACCTTGCATTTGATACATGAATTGAAGTCATAACATTTTGATACATAACCATACTTGAATACATTCCCCAAGGAGAGAATAACACGATAAAAGCAATTGAAACACATTTTGGGCATACAATCTTCGACACAACGCTTATTTGGAATAACTGCATATATTAGGAATGACCCGGATCATGAGAGAGTAAGAACTTGAGACAACCACGCTTGAAACATACGAGGACAGCATGGAATTCGATTCTACGAAAGAAGTTTAGCCAACATACCTCTCTTGAGCTTTCCTTAAACTACTACAATGTTCCGAAAATCCTAGTGACTTTAATTTATTAAATACATGAAAAAATTGAACCATAATTAGGAATAGGTTTTTGGGTTCAGCTCATTTAAGCATCTCATCAAGCACTAGGTATGCAAATTCGACTATAGGGTCCTATGGTAATGTTCCTTCACCCCACAATCAATCCCCACTGATGGTAGGCTATAATCTCGTGTTTTGGTCTCTTATTGCACTCTAATTCACGCACTTTATTCATGTTTGAGCTTTAATTGATAGTGTTTTGCACTTATTGTGTGTTTCATGCCTTATAGGAGTGATTCCGAGCTATGTAGATGTTATGGAATGAATTCGAGCGATTTGGAGATTTGAAGTCTGAGTAAAAGCCCAATGGATTAAGCCGGTATCGTGTTCAGGGGTCGAGGACCAAGTCTGGACGTCAAAACGCAAGAAAATTTCGTACTCTGAGAAAAGTCCGCTGCCGCGGCGCATGGGCCCAACCCTACTTGGTATAAATACATGGAAAAATATTATTTTCTGGACTTTTTGACATATTGGAGACCTAAGGAGGCTAAGGAGGAGTTGGAGAAGAAAAAGCACAAGAAGTTCATCATTCAATCCTCACTCAAGACCCGAGTTTGGATCATTTTATGTTTTCCTTTACTTTAAACATATTTGTGATGAATTGCTCCATATCTATGGAGTAGTTCCCTTTAGGGTTTGATGGATTTGGTGTATTGATGATTGTTTGTGGATTATAACTCTAGTTTTATGCATTGAATCGTTTTGGATGATATGAATTCTTTCATCTATATTCACTTGTTCATGTAATCGAGAGAGGCATAACTTGTGATATCTTTGCATTATATTGTCGGTTGAGTTCATTAATTCTTCTTAGTAATTAAAAAAGGCTATTTGAATCATTGATTAAACCTAGTTAGGAGGATAATCGAGAGAGATTCTCCTAAACACAAATCCACTACGCATTCTTGCATATCTTCATGTGCTTAAATTGTTTCATCTAGTGAGGTTATGACTTAATCGAGAGAGAAGTTTTTGCTGAACGTTTGAACCAATAATTGAGTGAATTCGAGAGACTCACTTAAACATTAGAATTGAATTATCTAGAGCCAGATCCCAAACAATTATCTTGCACCTATCCTATCAACCTTTATTTTCTCCCATTGATAACTTTCTTGCTTATATTTGTTTTGATTGTCATTAGTCAATAGCTTTAGACTCTTAGTTAATTTTAGTTAGAAATCATATAAATCTAAAGTGTTGATTTTCTTGGTTACCAAATTAACTAGAAACTACGAAAACAATGTTTAAATCCAATCCATGTGGGTACGATATTATATTATACTATATTCGACTAGCGAGCATAATTTAAATGTATATTTCGAGCTCGTCACCCACTTCAATAGGTCACCCATATATGTTCTACAACCTCCCTACCACCTTCATTGGCACATGCATGCATAATTAACCAACTCCTATTCTCAAGAACCACTTTTCCCATTACCTATTCCCTGCCCATTTTCGAAATTGAAAGGTAGGGCTAGAACCTTACCTCTTTAGTAGACAATTTTGCAAGCTTTCCTTGTGAATCCTCCAAGGCTTGAGAAAGGAACTGAAGTGGAATGTGTTGGGGATCCTCCTTATCTCTCTAGTTCGTCCCCCCTCTCTCTTAAAATATCAGAATTTCCCTTCAAAAATGGTCCCTTAAGTCTATTTAATTAAAATAGGGTCGGGTAAAAATTTCCTCAAACTTTGTTTACCCTTAAAAATAGATAACAATTGAATTTATATGTAGTTTTAAGGATATGTAGATTAATTCAATACAAGTGATCAATGACGTTAAATAAGCACACTAAAGATAAAATAAATAATCAAACTAGTTGCAATGCTATTGCACAACTTGAACTTGGGTTGGACAATGGTTTCGCCCTCGATCGGACCCTCGGTTCACAGCTAATAGAAAATGAATGACAAACAGTAAAGTAACAACTTTGCTGTAGCTAGAGAGTAGTAAAAATGAAATTAGGTGTCCTTGGTATATGTGTTATAGTGTTCTCATTGAATAAAAATCATCTCTTTTATATAGTATGAGAGTTTTATCCATAGTACAATTCTAAGAAAGGTAAAAATCCTCTTTTTCAATAATCATTGATCTGTTACCGATACGGGCTGAGATCCGTGCCGTGATATCCGGTTGGGTGCGGATATCACGGCCCTTCATTAGTCGTGTGCAACCATCTGGTAATGCTTTTCCGAGGTCTTGGAGCTTGAACCGGATCCATGGGGGCGTGATCTCGATATCTTCGGTGGTAAGCGATTTGTTTGGGCCTTTGCACGAGAGATTCCTAGCTTCGATTCCGATTCCATGTAGTTATGTCCTTGCTTCATTTTCCCCACCGGGAAATTAGGGTGCTCATTAGCCCCTGTTTTACCCGTATACAGATAGTCCCCTCATCTCTTAGAGAGTAAATTTGCCGAAATGATGAGAAACGAGAGATGTTCTCTGGTTCCTTCCCTCTTACGTTACAACCAAAACGACGAAGAAGTCGAAACGTCCCATCAGTGATGTCGTTCTAACTTCGAAAACATGTCAACCTCTGGCTGGTTGCCTCCAAATGCGAAGGGTCACATACTTCCCCTATAAAAGCTTCCACCCTTTGTTCTTTTTCCACATTCCGATCAAGTTTCAACCTTCGAAGTTTCTAGCTATCATCAACTTCTTTCAAACCTTCATATCTTCATCTTTAATCTTCAAATCTTCATAACTGTTCTTAGGCTCTTACCTAGAGTTTCTTGAAATCTCCATACTCTGTTGTTCAGCCTTCAAACTTGTTCCTTCAAACCTTCATACTTTTTCTTTAAATTTTCAAACTTTATCAGATAGAAATGGCTAAAACTTCCAAATCAGTTCTCCAATAGGCTGCCTCCTCATCTTCCCGCCCGGGCATGAATGTCGAGGTGGCTGCTTACGAGGCGGCTGTTCCCAAGGTGGCCGCTCCCGAGGTGACTACCCCCGAGCCTCCCATGAAAAGCTGTATACTCGAGGGTTGCTCAATCACGGACGACTTCAAAGTCGAGAGTCAATTATCCAAACAGGACTGGGGCGATGGAGCATGCAGATATATATGCTCCATTACTAAAGATGTCCTTCTCGTGGTCCGAGAAGACTACAAATGGGAAGGCAAGGATGTAGTAGTCCTCCGGCCCGAAGATGATATTACTACCCACGTTGAGGGGTACTTAACTGTTTTTACTTACCCGTTTATGCTGGGTGTCACACCTCTTTTTTTCTGAGGGGATACAGGAGTTTTTCCAATTAAAGTGACATTAATCGAAATGGGATTATTTATTTCAATTTCAGAGTCGCCACTTGGAATAATTTATGATGTCCCAAGTCAGCGGTTTATTTCAAATCCCAAATCGAGGAAATTTGACTCCGTTTTAAAGTCTGCGAAACCAGAAGACCGGGTAAGGAATTCTGTTAACCCGGTGTTAGGCATTCCCGGATTCCGTAGTTTTAGCACGGTCGCTTTTAATCATACATGTCTTAATTTATTTATTTAACTACTCATTTTAAAACCTATGCACTTTTACCTTTTATCGCTTTTGATTATGGTATTTTATGGAATTAATCTTTTAAACGGATTACATGTGTGTAAATCCGCCTTATTTGGGGTGCTAAAAATCATGTCACGCATACGTGTACACAATTAATAACACTTTATTTATTATTAAAGATTGATTGGCCAAAGTCGAATGCGTACTTCGGTTTTAATTTTGGAAAATCATAATTATATCACGCGAACGTATACATAATCACGATAGATTAATAAAAATTGCACCTAAAGCACTTTAACGTATTATTAAGAATTATTTTCCTAAATTAGTTCTGTGGTTATTGCAAAGGCCATGGGTTATGGGATAGTTGTGGAAAATGAAGTAAATTAGTTAGAGGAGTAAATAGGCCATCATGTATCAATACTCTATAGCCCTACAACTGAAGCCCAAAAAGACCAAATATTATGTTTCAAGGCTACTGAACGGTCCACTCTCAACCCATTGCCATGTGGCCTATTATGTTAAAATACCTTAAACCCCAAATTTTGTTATATGAACTCAAACGTTATGATGCAGGACCTTAGTAAATCCACAAAGCCCACCAAATTTACAAGATTAACCACTGGCCTAATCATTAGTTATATCAAACCACGCCACTATCCATTAGTCAGTTCCAAACCCAACTCTTATTAATTCAAATTAAAATCCATGGCCCCAATGAGCTTAACACTATTGTTTCATTGATTTTTCATTCAACTTTCAAGAACAAATTTAATAACAATAGACCAACGCTATATGCTCACAAAATCGACAAACTACAAATCCAAACATGCATGTTTTAATCAAGACAACAAAACAACCAAGCTTTAAAACACAGAACAAATAAACGACAAGAAAAATGAACTAAAATAACAGTAAGCGAAAAGAAGAGCGGACCTCGAGAATGAAACTTTTCTGGTTAAAATGAATCCCCATGAATGAGTATGTTAACTTAAAATGAGCAACAGACCACATGGTTTCTTACGTATACAGCTACAAATCGGACCGCCACCGGAGCTTTAAATGAACAGAAGCTTTGAAATTTGTTTAAATATTGAATTTCTCTGAATACATCGAGGAAGAGAGTACCGATATAACTCAAATACTACCCGAACCACCAACTAAATGGAAAGCTCGAACCGGGTACCTCGACGACAACCTCAATTCAACGACGCATGAAACCTTAATTGAAACTCCATAGCTTTTAAATTCGGATTTCCGGCCAGATCCGCCACCTTACGTCGCAGCAGTAACAAAGAATGGGGAAGACGTCGGAGGAGGAGGAGCAGTAGCCATCGCCGGTTTTTGGCTGAGCTCGCCAGCGATGAGGTGAGACAGAAAACGAGAGAGGGGGCCCCTCAAAGGAGGATCTAGGTTCGGAGTGCTCCTCTGGTTTTAGGGATTAGGTCTAATATCAAAATAGGGAGTGGGTATGGGATTGAGGGAGTTGGGCTCAAATAGCTTTGGGGTTTTGGGCTAAGGTTTTGGACTTCTAACTCTTAAAGTCCAACAAATAAGAAACTTAATAATTTAAAATATACTATTAAATATAAAATTAATTCCAATTAATTAAGGTAAACTATATGAAACTATTTTTGTATTTTCCAATTTTTTGTGCTTTAAAACTAGAATTAAAATTAATAATAAAGTGAAACCCTATAGAAATAAACTTAAATAAATATTCTAAAAATACTAAGACTATTAAAGATAATTCGAATGTGCGGGTCAAAAATTACGTGCTTACAGCTGCCCCTCTTTGCTTGAAAACACTGAGTGTTATTGAGCAAAGAAACAAGTAAGCGACGTAATTGATTTCTGACCCGACACTTTTTCAAATGAGATAAAGATGGATAAAAGATTGTGACCGAGCCCTGGTATCTGAGCTGCCTACATATCCTTGGCTATAAAGGAATCAGGCCACGTATAGTTCAGAGAATGATTGAATGATGAATTGGAGAGTCGAGTGAGGTTCCGTCGAGTCTCCGGTCTGTGGCCCTGTTATTACATCAAAATCTAAAGGAACTAAACAAGCCTATCAGCTATGAGTTACAAGATTCCTATCTATAGGTCTTCTGAAGTTTGATCTTGAGTCTTGAATGGTTCTTCATGCAGGCTTTTGATTTGACCCTTGATACTTGCTAGCTGCAGGTGCTAGTTCATTCTTCTTTAGCTCTTTCAGATCAAGATGGGACATGCAAAGCTTGTGACTTCAATCATATCTTGAGGAGTCCACATTTTTTCTCTGCTTCTGCACTTCGGGTTCACCTCTTTTCTTTTTCTTCTTTTTTTTTCTGGATTGAGACTTCTTCTTTTGGTCGTCTCGAACCCTGTGCCTGGAGGTATAACCTGCTTAGGAATCAAAACAAACGAACAAAACTTTTCTGCCCCAGTTTTCACTAGGAAAATTTCGTGAGTTATTGTAACAAAACTATATACTACTTTATTATTGAAAGCAATAAAAAAGGCGGGAATGGAGTATCCGGAGGAAAAAAGGGACTAGAGAGTAGTGACCCAATGTCTAAAATAAAATCAACTAGGGATTGGAGACCCTATGTTGGAAAAGTGACTAAGGAGTGGAGACCTTATGTCTAAAATAAATTCAACTAGGGAGTGGATACCCTATGTTGGAAAATCATCAACTAGGGAGTGGAGACCCTATGCTGGCATCAACTAGGGAGTGGAGACCCTATGCTGACATCAACTAGGGAGTGAAGACCCTATGTTGGAACATCATCAACTAGGGAGTAGAAACCCTATGCTGGCATCAACTAGGGAGTGGAGACCCTATGCTAGCATCAACTAGGGAGTGGAGACCCTATGCTAGCATCAACTAGGGAGTGGAGACCATATGTTGAAAAATCATCAACTAGGGATTGGTGACCCTATGTTGGCATCAAGTTATGTTGGCATCAACTAGGGAGTGGAGACCCTACGCTGGCATCAACTAGGGAGTGGAGACCCTACGCTGGCATCAACTAGGGATTGGAGACCCTATGCTGGCATTAACTAGGGAGTAGAGACCCTATGTTGGCATCAACTAGGGAGTGGTGACTCTATGTTGGCATCAAGTTATGTTGGCATCAACTAGGGAGTGGTGACTCTATGTTGGCATCAAGTTATGTTGGCATCAACTAGGGAGTGGAGTCCCTACGCTGGCATCAACTAGGGAGTGGTGACCCTATGCTGGCATCAACTAGGGAGTAGAGACTCTATGTTGGAAAATCATCAACTAGGGAGTGGTGACCCTATATTGGCATCAAGTTATATTGGCATCAACTACGGAGTGAAGACCCTATGTTGGCATCAACTAGGGAGTGGTGACCCTATGTTGGCATCAATTTATGTTGGCATCAACTAGGGAATGGAGACCCTACGCTGGCATCAACTAGAGAGTGGTGACCCTATGCTGGCATCAACTAGGGAGTGAAGACCCTATGTTGGCATCATGTTATATTGGCATCAACTAGGGAGTGGAGACCCTACGCTGGCATCAACTAGGGAGTGGAGACCCTATGTTGGAAAATGCAACTAGGGATTGGAGACCCTACACTGCCATGATTTTGAAATTTCTTTGTTTTCTCTCTCCTTTTTTTTTCATCGTTTTCATCATCATTTCTTCTTTCTTTTTTTTTCAGAGAATGAGTAAATGCGGGAAAGAATTTTGGAGGAGACTTCCTTTTTTGGGTTGTTGCTGCAAAGCTGTTTCTAGCCCTTTCGCAATTTCTTTTTTGTTGCACCTGCTTCTTGCAAGGTTGCCTTGGGATTGCACCTGTTTTCTGTTTTTCAAAAAAAGAACAAATTGTCAATTTGAAACAGTGGTTGGTTTTGTGGCCTTGATTGTTTCAGTCACTTGATCTCGGCCCGGCTTCTTTGGCGATAATTTCAACTTGCAACTGGTTATTTCCTGAATACCGATTGTATTTCTGACCCTGGAGAACCTCTGGCTTTTCCAGACTTTGCCATGACGGTTAGTCACGTGGGACTTAACCTTTCAACTTTATTTTGCCTTTGTGGGCATTTGACTTTGATTTCCTTTCTTTTCAAGAGTTTTTGGTTTCGAAACATCGGCCACCATGGCCAGTCGGAGTCGACATGATGCCCTTGCCGAGGCTGGGTGCCTTTTTAATATTAGCTTATATCAGACAAAAGCCCTGTAAATCAATCTTGTCGTCCTTTCTTTGTCTTAGTTTCAGAACAAAATTAGACCGAAAGTGATTCATAGAAAGGCAAATAATGAAACGGACAAATGGATTTGGACGAGAGGTATCCCTTTCGGGGAAAATGAAGAAGGACTTATCTGGAATGCATGTGGACTTCAATGAACATGACATGCCTCTTGGACTGGATGCCTGATCTGTGTAAACTGTCCAGCTTTCAGAAATTCATCATAACTTTTGCCTCGAAATCGAGAAACCTTGCCTAGGACTGTGTTGATGTCGATGGTTGTGAGGATCCTCTTTTCGATCAGTGGCGCCCTTTGCGGGTTTTTACCAACTGACCTCTCCCATTTCTCTTCTCACCGTCGCCATATAGTGCTCTTTGCGAGTTTTCACTAACAAGACTCTCTCATTTTCAATTTCTCTGCTTACCATAGCGTTATGGTGCTCTTTGCGAGTTTTCACTAACAAGACTCTATCATTTTCAATTTCTATGCTTACCATCGCCTTATGGTGCCTGTGAGGGTTTTCACCGATAGGACTCTCATTTTATTTCTCTCATTTGGTGGCAACAGATCCAAGTAACATTCTCGTTGATTGATCAGAAGGACTTAAAAAGGATTTGGGTAAAAGGTTTTGGATCGGGTTACAACTTCGGAACCTTTCTTGCGGAACCATCGCCGAACCGTTATAACTACTACCCCAGTTTCAACTTTGGGGAAATATGGATTTTTATTTTGGTGTGACTGAACCCCAGAAAGAGGCTGCCTACGTATCCTTTCGAAATCAAGTCGAACGTAGTTCAAGGAACTTTGTTTTTGATTTTTCTTTTGTTTTGCTTTTCTTTTCATTTTTTTCATCATTTTGTTTTTACATGGCTTTCAAGTTCCAAAGAGGGTAATCAAAGAAAAGAGAATCGGCTCAAAGGGTTTGCAAGGGTTGATAGTGTTTGGGTAGCGAGGATGAAAGCCTTCATCATCCCAATCGGAGAGTATTAAAACTGCGAAAAGGGTTAAACATAATACCTTTTGACCACATCCGCATTGACAGCTATTTCGGGGTCATTTCCTTCAATGTCTCCCAAGTACAATGCCCCTTTCGGCAACAGTTTTCTTAAAATGTACGGACCTTTACAATTTGGAGCAAACTTTCCTTTTGCTTCCTCAAGATGCAGGAGAATACGCCTTAGAACGAGTTGCCCCACTTCAAAGTTTCTAGGCCGCACTTTCTTGTTGTAGGCGCGGGCCATTCTTTGTTGGTACAACTGCCCATGACAAACTGCGGCCATCCACTTTTCATCAATCATAGTTAATTGTTCCAGCCGGGTCTTGACCCATTCAGCATCCTCGATCTCAGCTTCATCAATGATTCGAAGAGAGGGAATTTCAACTTCTGCGGGTATTACCACTTCAGTGCCATAAATCAATAAGTAAGGCGTGGCCCCAACTGATGGGCACACGGTTGTGCGATATCCTAATAATGCAAAAGGCAACTTCTCATGCCACTGTCTAGAACTTTGAATCATTTTCCTGAGGATCTTTTTGATGTTCTTGTTTTGCCGCTTCAATGGCGCCATTGGCTTTGGGTCGGTAGGGGGTATAATTACGATGCGTAATTTTAAACTGTTCGCATACCCCCCCCCCCATCAAGTGACTGTTCAGATTTGTAGCATTGTCTGTAATGATAGTTTTTGGAATACCAAAATGACAAATGATGTTGGAATGCACGAAGTCCACCATTGCTTTCTTAGTGACGACTTTGACCCACTTTGTGAAATAATCAATGGCAACCAAGATGAATTTGTGCCCATTTCAAGCTTTTGGCTCGATTGGCCTAATGAAATCCATGCCCCAAGCAACGAACGGCCATGGTGCTGACATAGGATGTAACTATGAAGGCGGTGCATGAATCACGTCACCGTGTATCTGACATTTATGGAACTTCCGGACAAAACGGAAGCAATCCTTTTCCATGGTCATCCAGTAATAACCTGCCCGCAGGATTTTCTTTGCAAGTACATATCCGTTCATGTGGGGCCCGCATACCCCCGAATGCACTTTGTTCATGATCTTTTCAACTTCTTTGGCATCTACACACCTCAAAAGATTCAGTTCTGGGGTTCTTTTGTACAAAACTTCTCCGCTTAAGAAGAAACTGCCGGCCAACCTTCTAATGGTTCTCTTTTGGTCTCCACTGGCCTGCTCGGGATATTCCTTTGTTTTCAAAAACCTTTTGATATCGTTATACCATGGCTGAACATCTGGTTCTATT